CCCTTAGATTGATGACAATAGCCCACAAAGATACAACGAATCGCTTTATCATCAAGTTTATGACGAGTAGGAGACCGATCCTGAACAAAACATGTGCATCCAAAACACGAGGGGAACCGGAAAAAGTGTCCGCTCAGGAAATAAGACCTGTAAGGGAGCCTTATGCTGAAGAACACGACTCGGCGTACGATTGCACAGAAAGGTAGAAGTCAAAACAGCAAAATGCCAATAAGATTTTGGTACCCTCATGCCTCTAAGCAGACAACGTACCATCCCTATCAAACTCCTATTTTTCCTCTCAGCAACACCATTTTGCTCAGGAGTATATGGACAAGTGAGTTGCTGAAGGATACCCTGAGAAGAAAGGTGAGACACTAAAGCATCAGACACATATTCTTTGGCATTATCCGAACGAAGAGCACGAACAATGACATCGAATTGTGTCTTAATCATCTGTAAAAACTGAGTGATTATAGGGAGCACATCAGACTTCCTATGCAAAAGGTAGACCCAAGTACAACGGGTATGATCATCTATAAATGTCACATAATATCTGGCACCTGACAGAGCAGTAACGGGAGAGGGTCCCCAAATATCAGAGTGTATTAGGTCAAATGGCTTGGGTGACTGTGTGCATGCGAGGAATATAATTGGCCCTAACATGTTTTGATAGGGAACAGATAACGCAATCAAGTTTACCACCAACACAAGCATTACTCAAAGCAGGAAACAACATACATAAATATTTAAAATTTGTATGTCCAAAACGGTCATGCCACAATTGAACAGTTTGTGACGAAAAATCATAACGACAACTACTAGGTAAAATACTAGCATGCAAGCTAGGAACAGAAAAAGACAAAGCAGGTGCAGGTGAAGGAATTGGTGAAACTGGAGATGGATTGCCAAGATAATACAGTCCATCTTTCTCATGTCCCTTGATAATAATCCTCCTGGTACTCAGGTCCTGCAAATAACACGAATCAGATAAGAATACAACCGCACAGTGAAAATCTCTGGCTAACTGATGTACAGATAATAGATTCATGGCCAACTTTGGCGCATGAAAAACCGAATGTAATGTAAGGCCATCTGGGAGACGGACTGTACCCCTACTAACAATAGGGGCATGTGTTCCATCTGCTAACTGAACCTGTGTATGTAATGGCTCGTCAAAAGTGGTGAAGTGATGGGCCTCACCTGTCATGTGACCATTCGCACCCGAGTCCAACATCCAAAGGGGAGATGAACTGGCACAAGCGTGAAAGGCACGAGATATACCTGTAGTGGTGACAGCAGCACAGTAGACAGACTCTGAGAAGTCAGAGCAGACATAAGTATATCTAATCGGGAAGTGATAGCTTCCATATCACTTTGCCAAGGAGGAGCAGTAGCAGGAGTGGCGGTAGTGGGCGGTGGTACCTCAGCAATAGCAACAGTACGGCTGCGAGAAGGTGGCTTAAGCTCTGGATGGAGCTTCCAGCAAGTAGCCCTGAGATGTCCTGGCCGGCCACAATAATCACATTGACGGGAATCCCCCGTCTGCGCTGATCTGGGGCGCCCTGACGGCGCTGGTCTGAGCGTTGCCCATCCCTGACTAAGGATCCTGAGCGGGACCCTACAGCAGCTGCAAGGGCCATCTGGTCAATCGAAGGAGTCAAAGCTGCAACTGGAAGTGATGCAATACGGACTCGACGCTCATGCTGCTCAATCATCCCATACACCTCATAAAGAGAAGGAAGTGTCAACATCGACAAGATCTGAGAACGAGGTCCCTCAAACTCATCACGAAGCCCCATAAGGAACTTGTGAATCCTATCCTCCTGCTCTCGAGTATGCAAGAATGCTGCTCCCTCGGGCTCTATCTTCGGAATAGCAGCAAGAGGACGTAGAGACTCATACTCAAGCCAGCGCTGGGTCAAATAGCCATAATAATCCTGAACGGTCATATCTCCCTGCCGAGCATATGAGAGCTCCTGAGAAAGCTCATAAACACGAACTCCCCGTCCTGACTGAGAATACATCTCTGATAATGCGCTCCATAGCTTCGGAACAGAGCTATGAAACTGGTGGATCCTGCAAACAGAGGGCTCCATTGAACCAAATAACCATCCAAGAATGGCACAGTTTTCAGAGAACCATGCAGAATATCCAGGGTCGGCATCAGCTGGCTTTGGGTGAGATCCCGTCAGCCAACCAAGCTTCCCTACACGGCCTAAGAAAAGCTGGAATGAGCGTGACCACTCAGCGAAGTTACGACCATTCAACAATTGTGCCGTAACTTTTTGAGAGATCATGCCCGGTAATGCTGGTAATGCAATTGTGCTAGTAGGCACTGTATACTGGTCAAACATAAAAGTGGAAGTACCCATAGATGTCTCAACGGTAGAGGTGTCAACAGTAGGGTTCTCAAGTCCCTCAGTAGTAGCCATATCAACAACAATACTAGGGCACCCGTGACAGAAAAATAACTCTAAGATAAATAGAGGAATAAAATAAGGGAGAACAATATTCCTTCAGTCGAACAGTAGCGACAAATAAGGAAGGTCCAAAAAGCTCCCAAATAATTAAGTCACGGTGCCCAGAAATCCAAAATATATAAATAAGTGATCTACTGCATCAAGAGCAAATCAACAACCCCTTATAAAAAATCCTAGATATAACAGCGAGTTGGGTTATTGGTTGGCAGTGGGCTGGGTATGGATTTATATGTCGGTGGGGTGTATGTTGGGTATGGATTTAATATGTCTGGGCTGTGTTGGTTGAGAATTGTTTTGGGTTGGTTTTAATATGTCGGTGGGTTATGGATTTAATATGTCGGCTGGGGCTGGGCTGTGTTGGATTTATTGGTTGGTTTGATGTATGTTTGTTGTCGGTGGGTTCACACCAGTCGGGTTCACCAGTCGGTGGAGTGTGATGTAGGACAGTCGGTGGGTTCACCAGTCGGTGGAGTAGCGAGTTGTTTCGCTTCAGTCGGTGGACTGATTCGGTGATTCGGTGAATCGGTGGAGTATGTAATGGTGGCTGGGCAGTTTATTGGAGAACTGTTACAAGGAACCGGCTATCGGAGTTGGGTGAGTAGCGGCTGGTTTGGCTGGAGTATGTCGGTCGGTGGGCAGTCGGCAGTCGCTGGGTTCTATGGAGGCAGTCGCTGGTTTTGGAGGTGCTTTTTTTTGGTTCGCTGGTTTGGCTGGAGTATGTCGGTCGGTGGGCAGTAGGCAGTCGCTGGGTTCTGGTGGCCTGGGTGTGGCGCTGGAGGTTGGGCAGGCTGTTGCAGATTGTTTGGGTGTGGCGCTGGAGTGGAACGGTGGCTGCTGGGAAGGTGATGAAGGCTAGGGTTAAGGTTAGGGTTAGGGTTAGGCTTAGAGATGGAGGCTAGGGTTTTGGCTCTGATACCAACTTGGAATATGTGAAAGGGATACTCAAACTCAAAGTAGAGTCCCGTATATATAGCCAAGAATAATACAGAGTAAGGGTAAAAAAGAGAATCTAATAAACCTAGACTACTATCTATACTCCAACAAAATCAACTTTGATCGGTGCCGGAATTAATACTGCCTTTGATGGTCTTGATCAGTAGTCCTCCACTATTCATGTTGCATCAAAAAATTAATTTTTATAACCTACAGAACTAAAAAATTATTACTTAACCTTAAAATGTTATATTGATGAAGCAATTGACTTATTACTTGCACGAAAGTGCTTGGAGCATCAAATAATCAGAACGATATTACCAAACATTTGCTTAAATCTTAACGAGTTTTAAAAGTTATCTTTTACTCATCTCCAGATTTGATTCTAATCTAATGATAACCAACTTTGAGGTCCAACATTTTTCAATTCTCATCCTGCGCATGGCGTGCTTTAGGAGGAGTACGTGAAAGGGGACCAAGGGACACAACTAGTCCCGCGCAGGATATTTTTCACTCCTCAAGTAGTGGGGGGATAATTGAGATTGCTCAATAATATCTTCCAATACACCTCTACAATAGGTGGAAAGGTGTGTCGTTTTATTATTGATGTTGTAAAAACGTGATTTTAGATGATGCAGTTCAAAATGATTTTAATAAATTTTAAGGAATAGTTTAAATGGTAATAGAGATAATCTGTAAATACACACATATTTTGAATTTAAATCTTGACAATCCTATGATACCAGGTGATGAGGTATTTCTCACTCTAATTCGGACATGAATAGTTTGTTTTTGACCAAATTGGATAAGGATCTTCAAGTCAAAGAAAAACAAATGAAGCCTAGCAAAACTGCACAAGTTTGGCATGGACTAAGACGTAACTAACCATTTTCTACCAAGGAATTGCGTCGGCTGCATACATATTTTGCTTTTGATTGTAGTTAATTACCAATTTTATTAGTTAATGAGAGTCGAAAGTCGAAAGAGTCCACAAAAATAGGATAATTATTGGTTTTGTGATATGCTTTAATCGTACTGTTTTAAAATGTGCTTACTCTATTTCCGATATACTAATAGTTTGCCAATTTTGTGCTATATGTATTAGAATTTTTTGTTAATTTATTTACTAAAAAGATTTGACGAGATAATTCAGTTATTATCAAATTAAAACTAAACCTATATTAAAGTTAATGAGAAAGGAGAATTATGAAACCTAATGGCCCGTCATTCCACAAAATAGAAAACTCATTATTACTTTCATGTTTTGATCAGGTGCCTAAGAACCATACTGGAATAGAATACAATGGAAATGTCACTTTGAAAAAGAACATAAATGATACGTTTAAAAAAAATTATCAGGAGAAACGCACAACCCAAAAAAAAAAATATTCCGAGAAACGTACAAACCCTGTCAAACTTCCACAAATTTCTCCCTCCTAAAACCAGAAAAAACATGGCTTCCTTTTCATCTTCAATGAAATCAAACTTAAGCACAAGTTCAAGCTTTGATGAGCACCAATGGGTCATTCAAATACGCCTTGCTCTCGATGAAGAGCTTGAAGAAAATATCCATGAAATCCCAGTCAGCATTTTCAATGTCCCAAGGCCCCGAATGGCTAGCAACCCAGATTCTAACATTGCACACCACAAGATGTTGCATTAGGCCCTTACCATTATTGGCGTCCCGAGCTTTATGAAATGCAAAGATATAAGGTCGCAGCAGCACAGAGAACTCAGAAACAGCTTCAAAACCTCAAGTTTCAACATGTTGTTGAAAAGCTGATAAAGTATGGGCCTAGGATTCGAGCTTCTTACCACAAGTACCTCGATTTCAATGGCGAAACATTAGCTTGGATGATGGCTGTTGATGCTTCGTTCTTGCTTGAGTTCCTTCAAATCTTTGCGTTCAAACAAGGTAAGGAACTAACTAGAGTCTCATCAAGAATGTCACATTTGGTTGATGTTGCAGGAAGAAAGTCTGCATATAATGCTATTCTCAGAGATATAGTCATGCTAGAGAATCAAATTCCATTATTTCTACTGAGAAAGATGTTAAAAATTCAATTTTCATCAATGGAATTAGCAGAAAACATGCTGGTTTCAATGTTAATGGGTTTGGGTAAAGAGCTTTCTCCATTCAAATTCCTGGAAGAACACCCACATCTTCAAATTTCAAAGCGTGCTCATTTGCTTGATGTTTTGTACCATGTATTCATGCCGGAATTCGAAGAACCAACGGAAATAACTGAAGCCGAGGAAGATAGAGAAAAGGAAGGTGAAGGTGAAGGTGAAGGAAACTCTTTGGGGGAGTCAAGTCACATTAAACAATGCTTTGGTGAGGTTTGGAAGTTTATTTCCAAATTAGATCGCGGCGCACTACGTTCCATCAAGAGGTTATTATTTTCAAGACCTATTAAAGTCATATTAAAACTACCATGGACAACTGTTTCTAAGCTTCCTGGATTCAAAGTCTTGAAACAAGGTTCTGAATATTTCTGCTTACCACATGATAAAGAAAACATTAAGCCTGAAAATGAGAATTCTAATGACAAACCCCTGTTGGTTGAGGAGATTTCAATCCCTTCTGTCACACAACTCTCTAGAAAAACCTATCTAAAATATACTGGGAATCAAGTTTGTGATAATCTTCTGTATTATTGATATTCTTCTCATGGAGATTTCCGCTACATACCTATATCAAAAATCATTGTTATGGATCCCGTGAGTCAATGTTAGTTTTATATTTGATCCGTTTAAGACCATTAGGTCTATCATATCCTTTGTGTGTGATGCAGAGAACGGAGAAATGGGAGGAGAGAGAGAAATATCTTGCACTGTCGCCGGAGTTCCAAGCTGGAGATAGTGAGAAGAGAGTGGGGAGATAGATTCTGTATGTGTGTGTGTTAGGTTTGTGTGTTCGGTGTGACAAAAACGAGAGAATGGGGGAAGAGAGAGAGAGGGCAACGGTAGGGGTGATAAGACACAAATGAGGGAAAAATGTTCGGAGGATAAAATTCAACTTTTGAAGTGTTTTATTAAAGTAAAACAAATAACTGGCCCGATTGTTGAATAAGAACTCTTATAGAATTTGATCATGGTTTATGTTAACTCTATGTCCTTAAGGTATATATGTTTTACCCCTACGGTGGTGCTTATGAATCTACTTGAACGTCTTGAAAAATGATCAACACAAACAGATGAAGCACTACACAACTAAACAACTAACTAGATCTGTGTTGTGTACTGTCTCATATTAACACTCTTAGCAACAAAAATAATAATGTAATGATTCTATTAGTCACGAATCCTATAAGTGTTTAACGCAGAATAAATTTGGATTGTTTATAAATGCAAAGATAATTTTTCGGAATAACCACCACTGATCAAATACAACCAAAAAACCACCAAAGATGCCCATTTATGTATAACATGAAATAATTGAAAATTGGATTGGTGGGAAATTCATAATTGAACTAGTGCAAATTTGGAATTCTAATGGGCGGAAAATCAAAATTGGGAAAGAATTGAATGATTCATGTAGCAAATAATTTTTATCCAAAAAGATAAGATTAGATCACACCTGCACCAAAGTCCGGCTTAAGTGCGGCGGTGCATGCGCGCGTGAGTTGTCGAATCCAAATCCATCTAGGTGCTTTCTTGTCCACAAAAGTGGGGTGTCCCTTGGGGTCAACCCTTGGAGCAAACTTGTAATATATATGCTCACTTAAGATTTCTTACTCAACTAATGTAGGATTCATGTTAAGTTTCACATGTGCCAAACTTTATTTCTAAATTTTAAGTGGGTCACTTTACAATCTATTTTCTCAACTGCTATTCTATTTGGACAAGCGAATATATACTTCATTATTCTATTTGTGGAATAGAATACGAATCAATGAAAGTTTACTCAAAAATCAAAACGATCAGCAAATACTATTTTAATTTAGGTTCAAAGTTGACAAAAATCAATTTTTTGATCCAAAAACCTTTCGTCTATCAGTTTTATCTCATTCCATACAAAAAGATTAAAAAAAAAAGTTTTTTTTTAGGGGGAGGGGGATTTGATGTGCTCCTATCGCTTGTGACTTATAAAGATTGAGTTTAATTTATTGACATAATCATTATATGTTATAAAAAGACGTTAAACATACGTGCGAAATCATATAAAATGCATCAAGTATGAAATCATAGATAACATGGTACACGTGGCGTGTTTTTGTTGCATTATCTAGGAATATAACGATCTATTTATAGTTTGTCAATTTTGTATAGTTAGATCTAATCCGATTATTATCCGTGTTTTTAAAATTAAACCCATTCTGATTTTCTTGTTTTGATCACGTGCATAGGCACCATACTGGAATTCTTGCATGTGTTGCCTAGCTTCTTTCATAAAGAGTAGATAGTGAAAACGAGCCTTAAATATATAATAATATTATTTGGACATAATTTATTAATACAATTTATTACAATCATTAAATTGATTTTGAGTCTCAATAAATACTAAAATTCACTGTTAATCCAGTGGTTATGAATAATTAGATCAGTAAAACTAAATAAACATTGATCTAAAATATATAAAATCTTTAAAAAATTCACATGATAAAAGCATTTACCCTATATATATATATATACTACTTATAACCCGTGCTTGAAAGCACGATGAAATACAAATTTGAACATCTAACAAATCAATCTTACTGTATTAAATAATAATTTTTATTTTCTTAATTTATTTGATTACATCATTTAAAATTTATTTTTATCCATTATTTTTTAAAAAATATTTACAAAAATATGTAATTCAATAAATTTTCTCAACATATGTATATTATCGTGTATGAATAATATCTGAAATAAAAATTATGTTAAATTATAAATTAATCAAATATTAAATAATTAAACATGTGATTGAAATAGGTAAGGGGTGTCAATCGTGTCGAGTTAAACAGTTACGTGTCAGATTAAACGGGTAACGAATAAAAAACATATAAATCCATTCATGACACGTTTAATAAACAAGCAAAAATTTTTAACACGAACATAAACCGTTTAATACACGGATAACACGACACCACTCATTTAAATAATTTAAAAATAACAAATAAAAAAATTATATTATTTTATCAAATATTTAAACTCCATGATTTTTGCTTCAAACCGCACTTTCCACAATTGAAAGAGTTCTAGCCAACCGTCAAAGTGATAAGCCACACCAGAGAGAGAGAGAGGGAGGCCCACAACTCTTTTATAGGCAACTGCTGCCTTATTATCTCCACTCCACTGTTGACGTGGGATTCAAATAAAAAGGACACTCAATGCCTCAAGGCTCGACACTTTTGTTTTTTATTTTTTTTGAGCTGATTTTTTTATTTTTTTAAAATGTTTTTTTCATTTTTTTTAAACGTTTTTTATACTTTTTTTAACTTATTCATTATATATATATATATATATATATATATATATATATATATATATATATATATATATATGAGGTGACTTACTATTCCTAATGATACCATTTTTTAATAACTCTGAGATTTCTTTTTTACAGATCTCAGTAGTTTCATGGTTCATTTGGATTGGTCTGGATTTAGTAGGGATATTATCCTCAGTAAATCCTTTAATATACGGAAGTCTGACCATGTGTTTCTTCCTATGCCAAAATGCTGTCGGAAGGGAGGAACAAACTTCTGACTCTAAGTTTTCCCTAAACCTATCGATCTTCTGTTGTAAGATTGGATTGGTTAGGTTTTCTTTAGTTCTGAGGTGGTTAATTTCTTGTTTAAGAAATTCCACTTGCTTAATTTTTCTGTTAATAACATTAAGGGACTGTGAGACAGAAATGTCTTTTAGCTGCCTTAAATGTTTTTTCTCAGGTTTGGTAAGAAATGGAAATACAATTTTTCTTCCAAAATGCTTGGTTGATATTCCATCTGTATCTGTACTAAAGGGGTACAAAAGGTATACGAATGGAAGACCAAGAATAACAGCATCAGTCATGTTATTAACAAGAAGGAATGATGTTTCAAAACATACATCTTGCTGGGGTATCAGAGCCATTTGACGGCCTGGGGTATTACCTCTGTAATTTCATTTGAGTCATCTAACTCATCTAGAAATCTTTATTTGTTCCATTTTTTAAATTCATCTGTAAGTAGAACACTCTAGTACCCAACCTTATCCAGTCTATCAAGAGTACGTAAGCCGCACTTATCCCGACCGTAAGTCCCGTGTGAGGCAAAGAGTGGATCGCAGGCGAGAAGTTGAGAGAAGCCAGATTAGGGGTATGTCTAGTGTTGTCCAACTTACATATTAATTTAAAATTTGATAACAATTTAGATTTTAAAAATGAGTAGATTATTCAGATCTAATTCTAGAGCTAGTACATCTAGATCTTCAGATTATTCTATGCCACATAGAGTAAATGAGGAAGAATTAGAAATAGAAGAAACTAGAACAGACTGGAAGAAATGGAATATTCCTCCAGTTAAAGAAAAAAATATTTATAGCACAACTTGGGTTCAGAAAACCTTTAGTGAAGAACACCAAGTTAAAACTGTTGAACAGGTTCATCCTCTCAGGAAAGAAGATGAACTTTGTGAGCTCCTCAGTAAGGAGACTCTTAAAATTCACAAGGCCAAAGGATTTAATTTTATCCACATAGGTCTTGTCCAAGTGGCCATTAAGCCTCTTATTACCCAAGGCAGGAATGCTGCTGCCTTACTAGCACTAAGAGATGCAAGGTTTCTTGATTGGGAACCAAGTGTCTTGGGAATCATGGAGACATGACTCCACCGAGGTCCAGTCTACTTTAACTGCTTCCCAGACTTTACCCTTGACCTCCATTGTCCTAATACCCACATGGCACTAACTCTTGGTATCCGTCTCACAGGCGATATTACCAGATTAGTACAAAATACTAGTTCCATAGTACTTATTTACAGGATTTATTACAAGTGTATTCGTACCAATCTAAATGTACAATGCCTTGACCCAAGTCCTAAAGGAAGTACTATGTTAATCCAATCTAGTTCTGCACAGGCTAACATCCAGGTTCCAAAGCAGCTACTTTGGAAAGATGTGACTTTACCTGAGTCATGGACTGTACAGAATGAGAATTTTGACAAGGAATCTAGTGCCAAATCAACAACAACTGATCTGGAGACTATTAAACAACTCCCTGACGGATCAGTAAAAATATCATTTGACACTGCCAGATCCACTAGATCTTGCAGATTCACACCCAGGCAAGATCAGATTTCTGAAGGAAGAAAATCTGATTTCTCATCTGTTTCCCATAGAGACAGAGAGATTGCCAAACAACTTGACCATAGGTTGAAAGGAATCGCTAATTCCTCAGACCCAGTAGCTAGACCAGTGTACACTCCCATAAGTGTCCCGTTAAAGTCTAGATACACAGAGTTCAAACAAACAGAGAATGATGCTTTTACTCCATCACCTTCTCTGTCACCCACTGCTAGTGCCTTTGATGGAAATGAAGCCTCAAGCAAAGCCCATCAATTATACACTATCACTAGGGAAAAAGGATTTTTTATGCCTGATGTTTACAAGTTAAAAAAGAATTTCAAAACCCCTGAGAACAGACCTCTTAGGAAAGCTTTTGAATCTTTACCTTGTAAAACCCAGGAAATCATTAAAAAAGAATGGGTTAAATTAATGTATAAATTAGAATCCGAAATTGCTTTTGAAAACTACTTAGCAAACTTCCACAAAGAAGTAAAAGTAGTAACTCAGCAGAATTGGAAAACAGAATCTGCCGTGGTAACCGCTAGTCACCCACCAGCAGAAACTATTGAATTTAAATATGCTAACAAAACTGTCACAGCTTCTCCCTTTAAGATTCCAGTTATAGAATCTGAAA